GCTATCTAGTGGGGAAAAATGCGAGAAAAAAAACGAAATAAAACGGTCGAGAACTTGCGAATGGAAGATTTCGTTCTTAATGCCTCAAAAAGCATTTTCGGACGAGTTTCCGTGGGCATCTTGCCAATAACCGCTACGGTAGATACGGCTGCATGTATGTACCATATATCCATGCAGCACCGCAGCCGCTTCATATCAATCCCTTCGCTTCATATTTTACTTCGCAAATGAAGCACCAGGTACGGTCGTCCATTTGTGAGCGGGCGAGCGCTGTGGGCTTCGGGGTCAGTACGTTGCTGCTCGATAGGACCTTATAATGGTGCTACGCAGCGCAGCAAAATTCCGTCCTGCCAGGCGTATTAATCCTACTCGTCTAGAGATGTATTGTGCCAACTGCTTTTGAAGACACACTCCATGCCGATTCTGTGAAAGAAGCAGTCAATGCTTTTTGCTTCGAAGGCAGTAGGGAGGGAGAACGCTCAATGGCTGACTGTCTCCAACTGATATATGAGCTTTGAAATGCAATTTGTCCACTCATCTGCATGGGAACACCTTCCTAACTACTAATAACTTTAACTCTTCCTTTGAAGTGAATAGGAATATCACTGGGAAATTTGTTCATGTGATAATGGCGTCATACCTGATCAAATGTGTTCACATTTTGATTGTCGAAGTGATCCACGGGTTGTATGAAAAATCCTTCTTCATAACCGAATGGTATGCTTGTTGGCTAAAAATTGGATTTACTGGGTTTGAGCGGATCCGCCATATTTGAATCAACTGTAGATACAGTCCTCATCATTACAGACCGGTGGGGCGGGTGAGCCGCGCTGCGTGTGACTCGGCTGTGACGCGGCAGCGATGACAGTCGCGTCACAGCCGAGTCACACGCGGCGCGGCTCACCCGCCCCACCGTCTGCCAATTGATGAGCACCATACAATTCACACTCGCGAAACGCGACAGTATGAGAATGTCACATTAGAAAAGGAGAAGAGTTAAGAGAAACAGGAAAAATCAGGTGTAAATTGAGGTGTAGCTGGTATTTTGGTGCCATCCACGGATCCACTACCGAGCCTCGCTCCAGATAGCCACCCCCCACCTTTTTTGCTGCGAACATAATTACATCTACATTGAATCCTATTTGCTATAATTTTTCCAAATATTCCACTATATCACATATGGACTATTAAATGGACTTCCGCATAATGATACACTTACCCCGCCCCCTCTAAGGGATCATGGAGATTTGCCATCATAAACGCTTACGATTGTCCCCTCAAAATATCCCTCGCAATGTTGGGCAATCAAGTCTCCTAACTTGCTTATCACCTCACAAAAAAGTGCAATCAAAGTGAAAGGCTAGTCCCTTGTCAACCTCTCTTCCACGTTCCAGCACCACTACAATACCCACCCTAAAAGTTCGAAAAAAAAAACGAAAAAAACGCCAATTTGTGTTTTTTTCGTTTTTTTGCTATACCTCAGTTTGTGTTAACTTTCTCATATAGAAACCTACACTGTTAGACTCAGCTCGTCGTGTTCTATAAGCTGGTATCCTGAAAAACTGGAAAAGTCCAAAACTGAACTCCGCTTCCTATCGAAGTACCGGAGGGCACTCGTTAGCGAGCGAGTCTCGCTATAATTGTAACCAGGGGGCAAGCGTTGGGAATTGAATCACTGAGAAATCAAATCATATACTATATCGCATGCAAAATCTTTTTAAATCAAGGTGACTGTGTTTCTCAAGTGATGCTGATCATTACGGTACCAATTTTTCCGAGAATAGAGAGTATCCGCTCGATGTCATTTCCAGACAATACAGCCTTTTCAGTTCAAAAAATCTTGAGCATAGGTTCAAATTCTGAAATTCTGACCACACTAGTACCACTTGTCTAATGTATGGAACCCTGTTTACCCCAACATTCACGAAACTCAAGAATGAAGTCAAAAGAAGGGATTTTTCAGCTAGCTTGAAGTGAGTTCTTCGTGCGATACTGGGAATAATGCTCGATTTTTTCAGCGTTTTTTCAGACAGAGTTCCAGTGCTCTTAGTGGTCCTACAAGTACCACAAAAAAGTTCGGTCAGAACGTCTTGTGCTTCCCAATAACTTGCTGAAAACAGTGGCATTTTTTAGACTGGTTTCTGTTATCGGGAGCCAACTTTAGGACTATTTCAGAGCAAAAATTACGTATTTTTCAAAGTAAGAAAATCTCAATCAAAGCTACACCATTTGATTCCATATGAAAAAGGCTATCTATCCACCTATCGAAGACGCACTTCATGAAACTCTCTATGACCTGTCACAGTTTTCCCCGGCTCTCTGCCCTGTCAGCAGTCAATTGACCTCCCAAGTAGTTCCACGAGGTGTCAGAGCACTGTATTGATCAGTCTTAATAAGCTCATCCATCATCGTGGTCTCCTTTATTCACTATTTCGCAGAAGATCCCTGAACACGCCGTTCCATGTTTCTGGTATTTCAAAGTTGAATTTTCATGAAAATTCCAAAAGTTTTGTGCTTTGAAGATCAAAATCCTTTGATTTGGACACTGATTATGTTCATTTCTTACTAGGGGATGGTCTCAAGGTCGAAGTGGCCGTTTGTAATGAGACCTAGACCACTAGACGTATTTTCAGACGCTGATTTCAAATCTGCATTCCAAATTTGCAAAGCGATTCTGTGAACGGAGTTATGACGGGTCGTTTGGCTGAAGCGGCGCGGGGTCGGCGGCAGTTGCCAGCCAGCGGGCATGAGTAACCGGGATGCAGCGCCTCATCCAACGGCGGCGGTGGCACAGAGGTAAGAGTCTAGGTTCATGGGCACACGATGAAGGTTCGGATCCCGAGACTGTGGTTCGTTTTGCATTCCGTGGAGGACGTCCTACGACTATGATAAGCACTTCAAGCGTTGATGTGACCACATTTTTCAACTGGGGCTGGGTGATCAGTGTGATCTACATCTTATGGGAATAGATCAAATTGTTCCGGATCAATGTCTAGAGGCTGCGAAATGACGTGGCAAGCGTGGGAACTTACCAGTAGGGTGAAATTAGGGATGGCGACAAGAATCTTTTTATATCGTGTTCTTCATTGTGAGCAACTTCTCTTGTTTTGCCCCACTTTGTATTAGGGTATCATATTTGCTCATGAGGTGAAGGAGTCATTTTTTTGCATAGCATTATTATCGTGTATGATTTGAAGAATGTAATTCCCATAACTATAAGATGTATATCACACTGATCGCCCAGCCCCAGTTGAAAAATGTGGTCACATCAACGCTTGAAGTGCTTATCATAGTCGTAGGACGTCCTCCACGGAATGCAAAACAAACCAAAAACGGGGCCACTAACACTCTCGGGATCCGAACCTTCATGCTGTGTGCTATGAACCTAGACTCTTACCCTCTGTGCACCGCTGCCCGCTGTCTTGGATGAGGCGCTGCAATCCCGGTATACTGCCATGACCCGCTGGCTGGCAACTGCCGCCGACCCCGCGCCGCTTCAGCCAAACGACCCGTCATAACTCCGTTCACAGAATCGCTTTGCAAATTTGGAATGCAGATTTGAAATCAACGTCTGAAAATACGTCTAGTGGTCTAGGTCTCATTACAAACGGCCACTTCGACCTGACGACGACATCCTAGTTAGTAAACTCTCCATGACGAATTGGAGTTTTTTTTCCCGTGCTTTATTCCCTCGCAAATTTCCAAGGTGGGTATTGTACTACATTCCTTCACGGACGCGCCTATAGGAATTTGTATCAGGGAAGTTAACTCTGCTACTGCAGCGGGAAATTGGTGCTTTCTTACCTCCCCTTCTGACTCCTCAATTTCACCCTCAGAAGTAAAAGGATTCTCGGCGTTGCACAAAAACGAGTCGGACCGCTTATTCGTATCAGTGGGATTTTATAATAGGAAGGCGAATCAAGAAGTTGTTCTTGTGATAGTTGTTCTACATAGTAATGGTACAGCCTAACCACCAATACATACTCTATATAACAGAGATGGAGTGGGCGTGGCCGCACAGGACACTTGGAGATGGCGTAGGGTGCCTTTTCGCGTGATATTTCTACTCGAAACAGCTGTCATACTATTCTTGGGCAAAACGCATGATTGCAATTGTCTCAAACCAATAATGCACTGAAAGCCACGCCCACTTCATTTTCGAGATGTGAAGTACGTAAGTCTTTGCATGAAGGGGTAGTAAATACCCTGTGCTGCTCAGACTGAACGATAGAGTTGTGACTGTTCATAGTTGCTAATTAACCATTTCTGGTTCCGGAAGGAGTCCGGATTGAGGCCTTCCCAGGTGTATTTTGTAGCGTGCATTGCGTTTACGAGACTTAGGAGTGATGAAAGTCTGGAATTTTGATTTTGGTTCCTGTGAAGTAACTATAAAGACTGTTGTGATCATCTAAAGCGCTGTATACTTCAGAGTGGCTATCTAGTCAAAAATATCAAGATTCCTATGAGAGTGCGATGTTTACCCGTAACGCATCCTGTCGTCGTGCAGGTTTGAAAGGATTCTTCAGTCGTTCGATGGGATGCATTATCTCAGGTCTCGTCCATGGCTTTTCCGGCATTTTGTTCTCTGGAGAGTATTCTTTGGAAAAAACGCCATTCATAGTAATGAGACTAGAATTAAGCCTATTATTGATTGGTCATACTCACCAGTATGGGGAATATGGAACGGACTAGGAATATTTGAAATCCAGTTGTCAATATTTTGAGAGATGAGCTTATAAAGCACTTGAAGCTCTTCACGTACTGGCCCTCTCAGAGGGGGAAACATATCTTCGCAATGAGTACCACCTGAATTCAGTTCTTGCATGAATGATTTTATACTTTCTACTGACATGAGTTGTAGTCCTGTGGTTTTAGGATTGTGGCGAATGGAGCCGCTATCATCCACGCACTATCCAGTAAAAGCCTGGGTTAGATCCCTCCCCTCCACAACTTTCATCCCTCGAAGGCATAAGTAGCAATAAGTTGGTAGTTGCTCCAAAATAGTGGCAGGGGTGCTATATAGTGGGGGAAAATGACGAAAAAGCGAAGTAAACGGCCAAAAACCTGCGAAAAAGTCTTCGTTCTGCACGGCATTGGACGAGCATTTTTGGACGAGTTTCCCGTTGACATCGTGCTAATAACCACGATGGATACGGCTGCATATTTGTATTCATGCATCCAAGTAGTGACTCTTCATTTTGGTTATACTTCATAAATGGAGTGATTGGAGTAGAAGCATCAGTGTGACTGACCGGCCTATGCGCGGGAGGTTGCAGTGGGCGGGGAGACGGGCAAGAGGATCGTAAATTGCCGCTTCGTCGCGCGCGGCAATGGGCGCGACGTTTCCTTAATTTGCACTACCCTTTCGATTGGAGCATCGGATTTCATGTAGACAAGGACATGGTAGACACTTATGTCTATTTTTGGTCATACATTGTCTATTCTCGACCAATACCACCCAAAATCGTCGTCATTAGCGGGCGCGACGTCGCACGCGACGCCCACTGGCGCGGCGAATTCCGATTCTCTTGCCACAAACCCCAGCGAACGTAAGGGTCGGTATGTGGTACCTTGGTTTAGCAGTGTTTTGGTTGGAAAAAGCCCAGGGCCTGCTGAAAGACGGAGTATACTTTCGTACAAGGCAGATCAACTTTATACGCATTGTCAACTTATTGTGTCACTTGCCTTCAACTATGTGGTCCATTAGCGGCACAATATTTGATGTGTTTCGTTCGCTGACAGCCTCAGATGAAACTCGTAAAGCAGGCATTGAGGACACGACATTAGTACATCTTGAGGACAAACTGGCGATCGTTTTCCACGGAACTATTGCTGACTCCAAGGGCTCATCGGCTTATGGTCAGCAGAATTCCAATTAGGGCGCAGCATCCGTTCTGGACAACGCAACAGAGGTGTCGTAGCAGTGGCGTTTCGCGGGTGCTGGGTTTGGTGTGGGTTCACCAGTTGCTGAAGAGGACGAGCGACGACAATTGATGGAAAACATGCCAGAGTGTGCTAAGTCGAGCCCTCTATACACGCCGCGGCATCCGCAGGAAACACGACCGCATCCTACACCCTCGACGGCAAATTTTGGTATCTGCTCATCATTTCACGCAACGCTATGCTGTGCTCTGTTTTCCGTGATAACCCAGAATATATTGGTCATTCCGTATAACACTGTGAACTAGCGAAACTAACCCTTAACACGATACGGGACAACTGAAGGATCCTTCGTTGTGCTTTTGCTCAATAAACTCCACGGATCGAGCGCACCATTAGGAATCACGACGTTCGTGCCCTGAAGACATTTCATTACTGTTGTGATTTTCTAATAATATTCGTTACTGTATTTGAAGGGGTCACAATTATTTGGACAAAATCGCTCGGAAGAAGCCGCATGGCGCCTCCTATGTAGCTCACGTCATGAGCCAAGAGGCGCCATGCGGCGCGC